CCAATTTACGAACTTCACTTGCCTACTGGAAAATAGACATGTGTGCAAAATTTAAGCCTTCTATCTCAATTCGTTCGAAAGATAGCGTGATTACAACAGACAGACAGACACACAGTCAGACAGACGGACATGGCTAAATCGTCTTAGAATTTTACGCTGATCTAGAATATATATACTTTTTTGGGTCTAAGATCAATATTTCGATGAGTTACAAACGGAATGACAAAATGAATATACCCTCCATAGTATGGTGGAGGGTATAATAAATGGCCTTCATCTTATATCAATGAATAACAAGCTTAGAGGAAATCCTGGATGGAGTTTTGTGAAGCACTACATAACAACAAATATACAAGCAGAATACTCTTATGTCCCGTTTTTTATGGCGATTCAAATGTTTATACAATTTAGTTCATTGCTATTTTAAATCTGTAAACTCACTATAAACAAATCGGTAAAGCAAGGCGCATTGGGACAAATTTGCAGAGTCTGTAATATCAAGACTAAACCTTATCGGTGATATGCCACTCCTATGCTTCAGTGCTAAAAGAAATCTTGTCCGCTTAACTTCACTGACACATAGAGAAAAACTCGAATGACTCTTTTTTCACACTTAAGTTCATTCATTACTCTCTTTCATAGCTCTTTAAAGACTGGATTGATGTTATGTTCAGTAGCAGAATTATCAACTCACACATCGAGGAAAGTTCTGTCGGTAGATGGGTTACCAGGGCACACCACAAGGCGGTGATCTGTCACCATTAATATGGTTTCTGGTGTTAAATGGCATACTTCAGGATCTGAAACATAATGGAACGAAAGTCGTGGCTGACGACGTAGTTCTGAGGAGGGGTTTAATCACACTTTATTCTTGCGAGAACTCTATAGTTAAGATATATGGGCTAAAACCGCATATAATTAAATGCATAGTAGATGAGTCAATCGTCCGTCCGATTCTCACTTATGGAGCTTTCGTTGGGTGGCTCACCTCTATTTATCACAGATGAAGTTCGGAGTACACATCAAGCTTCACTAGATACCTTACTTAAATTGAATATATTTGTAGAGGAACAGACAATCAGTTGTGTCGTGAGTCTCAGAGAAACCCATCCATTCAGAGGGGTTAAAACCAGTGCTTGTATATCATCATGGCTCAACTTAAGCCACTAGACATCCACATACCTAAAAGGGTCTCTAAATGCATACGGTATAACTGTCTATTTCGATGGTTCAAAATCCGTAGATTTGCTCTGCTAGAGCCTGATTATCAGAAACTTCTTCAGACTTTACAACAACTTTATGCGTGGTAAATTGGAGTCACGTGGCAGAAAACTTTGAATCAAATTTCTGTTTTAAAATTGCAGTAGAAGCAAATGCTAGTAAACGAAATATAAAAAAAAATATATAAAATTGGTGGACTCCAAAAAAACAATTCAGTTACCTACAGAAATATTTCAGATTTACAAAACAATTTTTTAATTTCCCTTTTTATGCTGATCAATAGATATTTTCAGACGTAACGGGAATCATGTTCAAATAAACAAAATTTTCCGCTTAGCTCCACTCATTATAAGTATTAACAACCACCCTGCCCAACTCTACTATCTCCATTTCCACGAATTGATTTTATCCAAAGACTTTGGATTGATTTTATATTTCGCCACAATTATGGCCCGAAGCATTAATGCCATCTTTAAAATAAATCTTTCGATGAACGGAGATTTCCTTAATGGCCTATAATGCTAGAAAGATTTACAAAAAAACAATTTATAACTATTTGAAATTGACTTCGAATCCTTAAAATAATGTCCTTTGAAACATCATTACGCCGCCGTTAAAGCTGGGGAAATGCTGGGGAAAACGAATAAAATTGAATTACAAACATTTATAACTGCTTTCATTGCGTTTGCTTTTCTTTGCCTTGTTTTGTTCACCATCACTCACTCACTCACATCCAACCAGTGCTGTCACAACGACAAACCGACAGACGGATACACTTTACAAAGGCAGCAGTGACTGATCGTTTTGATACGGACATAGACTCCCAGTTTCTTGGCTAATGACACAGTCATTTTAAATCTCCACGAACTCGTACAATTCATTTCCGGTTTGTCCGCATCCTTTAGTCGGTTATTGCATAATTTCCGTTTGATGAAACATATTTAGCTCTCGTCGCTCGTCCGCCACTCGATTGTGTTGCAATCCTTTCCAGAGAATCAGTTGAAAAAAAAACAGCAACAAAATTAAGCTACACGACCGACCAACTGACAATTGGTAGCCAAGAAAAAAAGGAAAACAAACAACGCAAACAGCTATGAACGCGCATTTTGTGTAACTGGCCTTATGTGCATCCTTGTTTGTTTTGGATGGCGCAGAGCGTCAGTTCATAATGCAGTTCGTCCATTGCCTCTGGCCATGGGGATGGAGAAGTGTCATTCTTTTTGTTTTGTTAAACGCAGCGTATAAAAGATTTCGATTTTTCTTTTCAGTTTTTTTTCTGTGTCATGAAAATCAATTTGAAAAGGAAATTAAAAGGGAAGCATTTCAAATTGCTGACAATAAAAAGAAAACGAAGCAGAGATAGAAGACGAAAAGCAGGAAAACTCAAATGTCGAAAGAGAATTTTTTATTGATGGAATAATGTTGGAAATTTTTAAATGCACTCGACATAAAATTTTGAAAACAGCAATAATAATCATATCTTTGGACATTCGATGGGGTCATTTAAGTTTACAATATGGGCTAATGTATAAATATTGGAATATGGCTAATATTGTCATCTAAAAGGCTAAAAATGGGAAATAATGTCAATTGCAAATATGTTTTAATATGTATGATATAAAAATCATATTGAAGGCAGTTTAGGGGTTATTTAACCACAATGCTTGATATTTAAGAACATTTTGTAATGACAACCTGTGGCAGATGTGTTTCACTTAATTTCGAGCTATTCAGATCCTACTCTAATTTTTCAAACAGGAGTGGCTCAGGAGCGCACCAACAAAAAACAAAAGTGTGAATGGTAAACTCCGTATAAGTCTCCCACTCATCGAACAACCCCTTTCCCGAACAAGTTGCATTCTCGAGTGAAAACAAGCGAATCTGTGCTCTGTTATACATGGGCTTAGCGATGAATGAGTGACTGACTGACTGACATCAGCGCCCCGACGAAGCTGCTCGAGCTAAATCCTTGATATTTTGTATGTATATCATCGTTGATTCGAAGGGGTGATATAAAACAGGTTTTGTAGAAATTCAAACTAAAATCGGACAAAAAATACTAACATTTAGCAGATACTGCGTCACGGAGTTTTGCAAACGCGTAATGTAAGAACTATGAAATTTGGCATGTGGATTGCTGGTAGTCGAAATAAAGACAGGGAATTTAAAGAACATTTAAGCTTAAATTTTAAAATTGATAATATTAGTTAATGCCGGTATTTGGGTTAGAGAACGCCGGGTTCTAAACCAAGCTCCGATAGCTCGACACGCGAGTAAAAATACTCGGTAGTGGGAGTACCAGTTTTGCAAGAAGTTTACTTTCCTCCCTTTTGTATTATGTGGGAGAGCTCGGGGAACTTCTCTGTGATATATAGAGCGAAATAGATTGGGAGTATACAATAAGAGTGAAATCGAGCTTTGAATACCGGGCCGAACTTTGAGTGCCCTCCAATATTTTGAACAAATTAGAAAAAAAATAAATACATTTTCAAAAAAAAAAAAATAAAATCCATTAAGAATTATTTTAAAATCTTAAAAAATCCCTAAGATAGCCGTCATATTGGGGTCCATACGAAGCCGAAACTTGAAAAAAAACCGGTGAATAAGGTACCTACAATCGTCAAAATACCGAATATAGGGAGGTACCGATATACTGGGGCTATACGAAGACCTGGACCTGGACTTCAACACCAAAATTTCAAACAATTTCGGTAAATGTTGTACCTAAAATCATAAAAATAACGAATATAGGGAGATACCGTTATATTGGGGATATACGATATCGTTGACCTATATAGACAATACTTTTCCAGGGGATAAAGTACTCACAAGGAACTTCTTGTGTGGATTTTCAGACAATTTCACCGAAAAAATTGGCTACAATCATTAAAATACCGAATATTGGGGGGTACCGTTATGTGGGGGCTATATGATATCGTGGGCCATCTTCGAACTTCGAACCAAAGGCTGATCTGTGTAAAATTGTAGCTCCTATTTTTATTCGTTTTGACTCTAGCGTGATTACAACAGACATACGGACATCGCTAAATTGACCTAGAATTTTACGCTGATCATGAATACATATACTTTGGTGGGTCCGACATAAGTATTTCGAGGAGTAACAAACATAATGACGAAGTTAATATACCCTCCATGAATATTTTAGTGAACGTGTTCGTATTTTGATACTGCTGTAAACTAGGGAGGGAGATCGTGAACAAAACCCAAGAAGAAATAAACATCAGCAGCTGAGTATTCCAAGAAACCAGTGGATTTTTTAGTGTTCACCACGGTAAAGTTGATATTAAATGGGTCAAAATCTTTACAAATGTTGATTGAATCCACATTTTTCATTTCCGATTTCTTTAAACAATTTTAAGTAGTTTCAAAACCCCTTTTAACGTTTCTTTTAACTTTTCACTTTTCATGCAACCCTCAAAGATGCAATGTGCCGATATTATTTCCCGGGAACATCTTAAAAAAGTTAATACTCCATTATAAACATTAAACCCGGACTGTTAATGTATCAAAAATTAACGTCCGCTTTTTATGTTCTATTTTACACTTCATTTTGAATTCGAAATATGCTGCAGCGCCAAGCTTAACTTAACTGCTTGGCAGTAAACTGGTGGTGGTGGTGTGCATCGCATTTAATGTTGACATTTAATTACATTACACCAACCACCCGCCCACGCGCCCACGCGCCCTCTCTAACCCACCCAACAACAATGTTGGCTGTTGCATCACAAAGTACAAACATATTGCATTTAAACACTTACGCTGAACGCATCCAAATCGGCATCCCGCCGCTCCGATATTTGCTTGAGCACGCCCACATTGATTAAATTGTTGCAGTACTGCAGTGTCAGCGTGTTGATGTCCTGTTCGCTGAGATGGCCATTGCCGTTGCCGTTCTGTAACGAGGATATGAACCATTTCATGAGCATTTGACCTGGAATTGAACGAAGGTGGAATAACGTTGGCAAATGATTAGTTAAAACAAACCGATAAAAAAAACACACACACACACACACACACAAAGAGAAGAGAGTAACGATGAATGAATGAGTGAATGATTAACATTGTCGAAATCGGGTGATGGCCTTACTTAACTTGAAAGGTTCACAGAATAGAAACAAAACGTCCATCATTGCTGGCGAGATTGCAGATGAAAGCAGCGCGGAATGATAATGATCAATGAATGAATGAAGGGAGTGTGAACGGAACACCGACCGACTGGATGGTGCTGAAATGAATGTGGTTGTGCGTTGTGATTTTCTTCTGCCTTTGCTTCTCGTTGCCTCTCTGGAGCGGGAGGAAGTAGGTATTTTTAGAATTTTCATTTTATTTTTGTAAGCGTTTGATGTAACAACAAATTCACTCTACATTAAGCATTAAGGGCAAGAGAGAGGCGATGGAAAATATCATAATATTTCTTAACTTAGAATAAATGTCAACGAAGATGCAATGTGGTTTTATGTTATAACTTTAAAATAGAGTCAATTTCCTTTTTTTCAGTTATACCTTATATAATAATATAATAGAAATATCTTCCAAAATGGTAAGAAATATTAAATGCCCGGAAAAGTTTTTGTACTGTACACAAGAAAGTCGTATACCATCTATATCTAGCATTCCCATTAGTTTTAATGTCAAAGTGTCGCTGCAACGGCAACAAATAAATTAAAATTCAATTTTATTGTTTGTGTCCATTTTAGTTGACAGAGTGGGAGGAAATATGGTGCAGCATTTGACACCTTAGGAAGGCCGACATCAGGGATGGAAAAATTTAATTGTAGTTTTTAAATAAAATGGACAAGGAATGGTACAAGAGATATGTATATTCATTATACCCTACATAATGAAAGGATTGTATATTCAATTTGTCATTCGGCTTGTTACTCATAACCCATAAGTTATATATATTCGTGATAATAATAAAATTCTAAGTCGATTAATAAATGTTCGTTGGTCTGCTGAAATCAAAAAATAGTCCATATACCGGTACCTGCCGATATTGGGTATCGTAAGTGGGTTCTAATTCCTGTAGCAGAACATGGTTTCTATAGGTTTTTGTTTTCCTATAGCTCCCATATTACCGTACCTCCCGATTGGACTAGGAACTTTTTTGGTGAAGTTACTACAAAAAGATTACCGCTATTTCCCCTTCTTAAACTTGCCAAAATATTGGGATAAGATAAGATTACTATCATATTTTCTGAATGTTATTGGTGTTCAAACTGAAAACTTTTCGAGGAAGGGAAAAAATCCAGTGGACAAATATTTTACAAATTCGCTTTTGACATATGTGAATATAGTCTGATGTGAATATTACGATATGCTAAGTTTGAACTATATCGAGAACTCCCTTCATTATCCTTTTTTTACAAATTCGATTGTGGAGGAGAGGTACTAGAGTTGACTCATATATTCTGTTTTCACAGTTGCTCTAATGAAGCCAAAAATATTTCGATTTGGCAAGTTTGATAAATATTGGTCACCCATTATATATATTTTTAGGTATTAGAAGGAATGGGTCGATAACACGGATCGTAGCAAACTATCTTAAAAAAAATATTTGTCATGGAATTCGTATACTAAAAACAGAGTTGAAGTCGTACTTTGTGAGAATTCGTACAAAAATAACCAAAAAGCATAATTTTAGAAGGATGAAGTCAAAGGCAAATACATTCTTTATCAATTTTTACTATAAGTCACCAAAGAATTTTCATTATATATTCAAAATGATTTGTATCAATGTTCTCCTAAAATAGTTTATTCTAAAAATTTAAGTGATTTTTTTGTAGAATATTCCTTATTCTGATACATTTTGCATAAAACGGGGGGCATTAGTGCAAATAATTGTGTATGTATAATGAAAATAGAGATTTCTATTTTCTTTTTTATGAAAATTACCGGTCCACTCCATCAAGTACCTCCCACACCAAGGGTCGAAATTTTGAATAATTACAATTCTTATAAAATGTGATTTAAGAGTCCGATTTTCTTCAAATTTCACGCAACCCAATATTTTTATTAACCCAAGGTCTGGATTTAAGACGGAATATATCGGTCCACTCCTTCTGGTACTTCCCCCACCAAAAGGTCGAAATTTTGAATATCCATTAAGCTCATAAAACGCGAAATTAATATCCGATTCCATTTAAATTAGGTACATCTGAATATTTCCATAAACACAGGATCTGTTATAAAAACGCTAGAGATCGGACCATTTCCTCTGGTACCTCCACTACGAAGGGTCCAAATTTTGAATATCCATGAAGGTCATAAAACTTGAAATAAGCATCAGGCTCTCTACATATTTCACACATCCCATTATTTCTACTAACGCAAGATCTGTTATGAAGATAGGATATATCGCTCCACTCCTTCTGGTACCTCCCTGACAAAGGTTAAAAATTTTGAATATCTATGAAGCTCATAAAATGCGAAATTAACATCTGATTCCATTCCAGACTTGGTACATCTCAATTTTTTCCATCAACACACAACATTTGTTATAAAGATGGTAGAGATCGGACCATTTCTTTTGCTACCTGCCCCACATATGGTTCAAGATTTTGAAAAACAAAACGCTGATAGAAATAAGCATTCAACTTTCCTCAAATTTCACACATAAAAACATATATATCTGCGAACCCCTTCTGGTACCTCACCCACAAAGGGTGACGATTTTAAATTCATTCATATGTCATAACTTCCAAAACAAGTCAGCGATTATTTACAATTTGCTATATCTAAGCATATCTCTTAACCAGAAATCTGAGTCTGAATATGACATTTATGGTTTTCCATAAAATTGGATATAAATATTCGATTTTCTTGTAATTTTGCCAATATCAATATTTTTATCTGTATTAGATGAAGTATGAAAATGGAAACTTCGGTCGACTATATCTGGTAGCTCACGCACATTTTCCAAAAATTATCACATATCTCACATAAAATGAAGGAAGTAACTAATATAGTCTAAACCTGGCACGTCGCAATATTTATATCATATTTATTTAGATCCGATACGAAATGGAAATATTGTTCCTTTTGATTTTAACAAGTTGAATAATCGTAACAGATCTCATAATATATTTAGATACTCGAACATTGGCCGAGGGTATACATCTGTGAGCAAAACCGACTGATACTTTTTAATTTGATAATAACATTTCGAATGAAATTCTAACTTTTCACAACTCAGTTTGCGAGCTTCGATTAAATCCAAAAAGTTTGTGATTTTGTATACTTTTTACTTATACTGGAGAGATAAGAAGATATAACGAAAATAGTAAATAAAACCCCCCGCTACTAAAAACAACCATCTGTTGATGAAGTATTCCATAAATTGGTTGGTTACGCCATGAGTCAGTGCCAAAACAAAGTTAAATAAAAAATTGTGACAATGGTCACAATGTGCCTAACAATAACAACAAGTGTAAATAAAAAAAAAATAGAAAAACAAATGTTTAATTGCTGAAGAGGTCTTTCTAATTCGTTTGTTTGCCTATTTCATAATTCCACCTATGATTGACATTGATCGACCGTTTATGGCGCTACGACGACCAGAAAATAATAACACTTACAACTCTCTCAGTTTTCCAGTAACAATTACACAGTAACTTGTAGTGGGAGGAATTATCTCTCGCACGTACGGATATTGTAAACATTTATCGAACGACATTCAGTACAATCCAGCAAAATAGCCATTTTCCCAAATTAACAAGTTAAAGAGTATCAGTCGGTTTTGCCGACATATGTATACCCTCAGCCATATAAAACGAAAGGTGTAACGGAGCGCCATTAGTTAAATACATTTTGACTTCTGTTATGATTATTCGAATTGTTGACCTTCTATGGTCCAATATTGTCCATTTCGTATCGGACCTTAATAAATATGATGTAAATATTGCGACAAACATTATTATCCAATTTTATGCGAAATCATAAATTCCATATTCATTTAAGGTTTCTGGTTGAGAGAAATATTTGAATATAGCAATTTGTAAGAATCGCTGACTTGTTTCGTAAGTTAAGACAAACAAAAGAATTGCAAATTGTGACCCTTTGTGGGTGAGGTACCAGAAAGGGTTCGCAGATATATGTCATCTTCACAGCAGATGCTGTGTTAGTAGAAATAATGGGATATGTGAAATATGTAGAGAACCGAAGGCTTATTTCGGATTTTATAATCGTTTTGGTTATTCTAAACTGTGATCCTTTGTGGGGGAGGTACCAGAAGGAATAGCCGGAATATTTCGACCTTTTGCGTGGGAGGTACTAGAAGGAGTGGACCGATTTTGCCTATCTCCGAACTCGATCTAAGTTTGATAATAATATTGTGATGTTCCAAGTTTGGACTGTATCGGAAACTCCCTTCGAGAGTTATTGTGCCATCAAGGTAATATTTAAAACTATTATTGCATTTCCGTTATGTCTAGAAGTCGCTTGTGTCTACATGTATGTGAAAACATTTCACTAGGCTTATCCGGCAAAAAATATTTTTTTAAATATATCATATTTAAAATTTATAATATTTAAAAATATAAAATTAAAAAAAAATGTAAGAATTTCTTTAGGGGTCTGGAAGTGTCCCCACCCTGCGTACGTCTCTGCATTAGGTAATTGTGTTTATCTTTAATTTTTTTTTTTGTGTGAAAGTAAATCATCAAGATAAGACATTTGCACCTTCTCTCCTACAGTGACGTATTCCCTGGCAAGTGTTATTTGTGTTTTTGTGCAAAATTAAATCGCAAAATATCATCAAAACAAAAGACAATGACTTTTTCCAGAACTTTATTGCCATCAATCAATTTGTAAAATAAAAGAATAAAAAACCAGGTTAAATTTGCCATTTGAATCAAGTAAAGTTTGCCAAGAGTGGAGGGGTAATATAAACGAGAAATTGCAGTAATTTACTAATCGGTCACTATTATCTTA